GTTGTACATTTGATCATGCTTATGCATGCTTCACGGGGCTCCGTGAAATATACACTTACCCCTCCTTCTAATAGACACAGACGACGTACATCTCTTTTTGTCTTGCCGCCACCTGTATGCACCGCAGCCGTTTGCATGAGTCCATCTCCGTCTGTCTCCACAGCATCGACGATATCCATGGGCCATTTGCCACGTGTTGTGCTATCACTACTATGTCGCCTGATTTGAAATTGCGATGCTTCGAAAGCCACTTTTGTCGCACTTGCAGGGTTGGTATATGCTCCCTCATCCATCGATGCTAGAAGTTATTAGCAAAGTGATTGACTTGTCTCCACCGTCTTGTATAACTCTCCATCATTGTGAGACCTTTTAGGTTTTGATCGTTCTCCGTCAACAATAAACTGTTCGGAGACATTGCTCTCCTTTCCTTATCATCCGATAAGCACGGCACTAGCAATTGGCTATTCAATATTCTTTCGATTTCTACAAAACAAGTTGACAACGTTTTCGCATGCATTAACTACTCCTTCATCAACGCAAGTAGTAACCTGCGCACAGAGCGGATCATTCTCTCCCATATGCCCCCTTATGACTTGAGGAAGGAGGGTTAAAGAACCATTTTATCCCATCACATGCAAGACGGTCATTAACCTCGTATCCATCCCAGCATTTAATTGTATCTTTTAGTTCTGATACGGTACCCACGAAATTTGATCCGTTATCACTATAAACCTCTGAAAGTCGTCCTTGTCTACCGATGAATCTCAATAGACAAAGGATAAACCAATATGTATTGAGACTGCCCGCTATTTCTAAGTGCAGGGCTCGAGTCTGTAGGCAGGTAAATACGCAGCCACATTTCTTTTCCGAACCAGGACCCTTGTGAACAAACAGAGGTCCAAAATAATCAACTCCTACTGAGTTAAAACAGCACCAACCATTTTGGACCCTACATAGCGGTAGGGGAACCATCATCTGCTGACATGCAGAAGCTACTTTTTTCCTACATACTATGCATTGACCTATTACTCGCTTCACTGCACTGATTCCCTTGACAATTTTTCACGGATCGCTGACAAAACGTGTGACGTATCACTATGTCCTTCTCTGCTATGATAGTGGCGAATAATAAGATCAGTCACATGTCGATTGGGTAGGATCACCGGATGCTTGAAATGAGATGAGTAGCTGGCGTAACTAAGTCGCCCACTCACATAAAGCAAGTCATTTATCGTAACTGGACGAAGCTTTCTCAAAGAATGCACCATGTCTCTCTTTCGTGCTCCTTGAAGTTTTGCCAGTAATGTTGATTCACCGAGTGTTCCATTTTGCACCATTCTTAAAATCTTCCATCAATCTGCGTCAATTTCTCAGGCCGTGAGGTTTGCTACCCTCAAGGTACTTTTGTTTCTCGACAAATACATAATTCTAATGTAAGAGATGAAACGAATAATCTATGCAACTGACTCCAAAAGTTTTGACCATTGAGAGTAATGATACAGAGGCTGTTCTAGTTTTATCGACAAAACAGCTGTGTTCACGCGTACTACAATTTTCTTCATCTCCACGCCATCCGGTGGGTAAGATAATGGAGATAATGCCTGTGGAGCATAGCTCTGTAAGAACATCGGCCCCTCTAACCATGCCTCTAGTTCTCTTCTTGTTNCCGGATGTGACGCCACTGGGACACCGTGGAGTACTGATGGATGATTGCTAACCAATTGGCAACGAATGTACTAAACGTGTTGAAGTATTTTCTATATAATATTTGACAATCATTGAATCCGTCCAGTGCCACACCTCGCTGAACATCTCCGATAGAGCCCTTTACATCGTCTCTCCTATATTGATTCCGAGGACTGCCGCAGACAGTTCCAGTCACGGTATGGTTAAGGGTTTGATGGGTGCCGCTCGAGCTTTACTGAACAGCAAAACGCTGTAAGGCAACGGGGTACGTCGACTGAATCGCACTTGAGTGACGCGTAGCCGAACTGATACGAATCCCGAATTAAAAACACAATTGATCCGCAATGTTCTACGGTACTGAATTAACGTATTACAATGTACACAGTTGATCCGCAATGTTCTTGACGCGTAGCCGAACCGATACGAATCCCGAAGTAAAAACACAGTTGATCCGCAATGTTCTACGGTACTGAATTAACGAAATTATTACAATGTGTACAATAAAGCAAACCTCAAATATGCGGCCAAAAGCACTCAAACAAGCGAGCCAAATAAGATGTCCAGAGAGAGGCAGACAATCGCTCCCGTTCTCAAACCACGCAAAATTCAAGTGTGCCTGGCATAGAGTTAACAGATAAATAATGATGTGTGGTGTTCGTGATCGAAAAATGTCAATATAAGAGCAATACACAGATAAAGTTATTTCACCATAAATCAATATGGGTTCGGAAGGCCTTTCAAAAATTCCGGATGAAATACAAACGGCTCCATAACCTGTTTTGGATGCATCACAGCAAACATGCGACTCTGCTCCCCCTCCTTCTCCCCAACCTTCGTTTCCAATACTTCTTGGGATCTTTATCACTTCTAGACACCTAACAAAGCGTATCCAGCTTTCCCAAATACTGTCATCTCCAGCAGTGAGAGGTTGGTCCCAACCCATTTTGGATTTACACAAGGTTTGCAGCAACTGCTTTGCTTGGAGCCATAGAGGACCTATGAGTCCTAGCGGGTCAAACCACGAACTGACGCTGGATAATATACCGCTTCTATTCACCGGCTTATCTAGTAGCTGGAACTGGAACGTAAAAACATCTCGTGTTGTGTCCC